TAAGTAAATATTAATACGACAAATAAAAGCACAACACACATATGTACTTATATAATTAAAGGAATTAAATAACGCGACAATGCTAAAGAATAAAGAGTCTGCGATGTATTATTATCAATTGATTCAACCCAAATCCATTTACATTAGTTCGATGACTTTTTCTATTTTTCTAAATAATGCTATTTAACAATATGATGTTGTTGTTTCTTCTGCACCATAACCTTGCCCGCCACCACCATAAGAAGTTGTAGCTTCTTCTGCACCATAACCTTGCCCGCCACCACCATAAGAAGTTGCGCCATCGCCATAAGAGGTTGCACCACCACCATAACTACCTACAGCACCTGCTGCGCCGGCAGCACCTGAGACTAAATATCGAGTTTATTATTAGAAAAATTTTATTATTAGGAATATTTTTTTAAGCAAATTATTTAGATTTTTACCTGCTAATTTTCTTCGACAGTAATAATAATACGCAGCAGCACCACATAATGGAAATAATAGTAAGCCGATAAGTCCGAGAGTAACAGATGAAATTACAGTAATTGTACCGGGAGGTGGTGTAGATGTAGTTGTAACTGTTGCATAACTAGATGTAGCACTAGATGTATAGATAGTAATGTAACTGGTGACAACGGAGGTACAAATAGGATAAGTTGAAGTTAAACCAGGTGAACCAGGAATAGTTGAGCTAAGTGGAGGTGGATTAATTGGTATGCTGTTGCAAGGTCCGCATGTAGGAGTAACTGTTATAGTAGTTGCAGAACTGCAAGCACTAATTTGAGGACATATGCTGTTGAGAGGTCCACATGTAGGAGAAACTGTTATAGTGGTTGCAGAACTGCAGACACTAACTGGAGGACATATGCTGTTGACAGGTCTACTTGTAGGACTAACTGTTATAGTAGTTGTAGGACTGCAGACACTAATTGGAGGACACATGCTATAAGTTTCTGTTATAGTTTCAGTGGTACTGTAGAAACTATAAGAGTTTGGAGGACACATGCTGTAAATACTAGTTATAGTACTTGTGGTGTGGCAGACATTAAAACTTGTAGTGCTGCAGTCTTTAGTGCTTGTGGTGCTGCAGTCTTTAGTACTTGTAGTGCTGCAGTCTTTAGTACTTGTAGTGCTACAGTCTTTAGTACTTGTGGTGCTGCAGTCTTTAGTACTTGTAGTGCTGCAAACATTATTAGATGGCTTTGGTGTATGTGGAGGACATATGGTGTAAGTAACAGTAGGCTGAGGTGGATATTTTCCGCAGTTTTCACATTTCTCACATAATTTACATTTCTCGCATAAATCACATTTCTCATAAGGTTTACAAACAGGGCATGATTTGGGTGATTTGTCACAGGGTTCGCAAACAGGACATGATTTAGGTGATTTATCACAAGGTTCGCAAACAGGGCACTTGTCTTTAGAATGCATTATTAACTAGTAGACTACTTAATCAATTCTAAAGCATTGCGCAAAAAATCCAAGAATAGCCAGATGATGAATTTATAGCTTTTTGGCTTGGCGGCATGACATTAACGTAAATACTGTAGAAAATACAATTTGTATTAAAAATTAAAATAGTTGTGAAACTTGTACAGAAAAAAAAATCGTAAAACTTATTGAATTTCATTATCGTGGTTTGCTCGGTATCATTAAAATAAATTTTCACTTTTGTACTTCATGATCATCTTAAATTAGCATTAAATCAAATGTGATTAAGTGTTACATTTATGTTTATTTTTCAATATTACCATTTCAGCATTTTTATTTAATTACATTTTTTACTTGAATTTGCATTTCGTATTACATACTGATTGCATGGTTATATATTGTTTATTTTCATAGACCTTATTTATCAATAGTTAGTTGTCAAGACAAAGCCAAAATAGTTTAATGGTCTTCCGGGGATACATTTTTGGTGCCGTATACATATGCATATTATTTACTATTTTAGTAATTAAATTGAAGAAATTAAACAGTTGGAAAGACGTGCTATTGTTTACGCGATCATGCTTAAATAGCAACATATAAAAATATTTTAATGATTATGATAAAAATAGATGCTCTGTGATTTATCAATGATCTTGATACGAGCTCATTAGAAAGATAACATTGCAAAATTCTAATCATACTTTGAGATGATATGAGTGACACCAAGAGAAAACTCACAATCGCGTTACTTGACACTAAAAGCGCCATCGGTAACCCACAATATAAAAATTAATCAAATGTATAAGAATGTGAATACTGTACAAGTTTTCATTTGACTTAATTTTGTGTCAGAACAATAAATTTATTTATTGTGAACGTTGATGAAATATTTATCAAGACTATGATCTTACTGATTAAATTTATAATTGCACAATTTTACAAAAGTAAACTTTCAAACATTCAGAACGTTTGCGAAAATTACAGTATGTATTATTAATAGAAGTATAAAATGCATCGTTCACTGTAATGTAATTATTATTGTTAAAATTTACTTCACACAAAAAAAATAGGATAAAGATTATTCATGTAATTATGTAAACTGATAGAATTAGAAATTAATTATAAGTTCGTTAGATTATTTTGTTAAACGCTGATAATGGTGTTGTAAATGACTAATTTTCCTCCAAACATCTTTAATAAACAACGATTTTAAAAAAAAAAAAAAATTAAATTTGTACCGAAAAAAAGCCTTACAAAGTATCAAGAAATTTATTACTAGTCGAATGGTCATATTTTGACGTGTCTTCTATATGATAATACGTATTTACAGATAAAAATAAAATAAAAAAAAAACAAAATTCCTTTTCTACCTGTAAAAGTGTATAAATTTCTATTTAAAATTTCCTCTATTATAATTCATAAATAAAGTAAAATAATTTTCATACAGTATTAATTAGGCAAAAACCTAAACGATTCCAAAATTCACGTTTTACATGGTGACGACAAAAAATTAGTAATGATCAACTAAATTTATTGTAACGCGATCTATGCACGTACGTACGTACGTACGTGTGTTACATGCTATGTAAATATAAACAATGGACGTTAATGAGAATTTTCATTTTTAACGCCCGCTCAAATATTTGCATTAATTTTAATTTCTAATTTTAGACCCATTATATTTTGGGGAATTTACATATAGGTGCCCGGAAAGTGAAAATAATTACAAATAAGTGCCCGGACTAAAAATAATTACATATAA